GAGCCCATGGCCTCATGCGCCTGCGTGATGTTGTCCGGCATATCACAGCCTTGGTGTGCTGAGGGCCAACTGAGATTCAGTAGGAATCCGTGTAGCCGCTTGTCTGCTCTGGAGCGATGGAAGGGCTTGATAAATACAGTGAGGGAGCTCCCCTGTATGCTTCCTATACTGTTCAGGGCTACAGCAATGGTAGTTTTATTACTGGGAAGGTGGGCATACGTGCAAGCTCAAAACAAACATCGACACTGAGAGAGGAAAATATCCTTGAGCTCAGAGAGGCCGTGAGGACTATAAGGCATGCTGATGGTGCATTCCAGGGAAAACAATTTAAAATCTCGGAAGTCAGCTCAATGGAATCTGTATGTAGTCAATTGCTCAAAGGTGAAAGAATTTCTTTACAGTAATTGGGTAACTTAAAATACGCTTTACACAAGCTCAATTTGTGCTTCACTGGAGTCCTGATTTACATGACAGAGGGGACACTGAGGCATAGGAAGCGTGTTCTTCCATTTATGCTTTTCGTATCGTATGAGACAGGTCAGCACCTTGGTACTGCTGACCAAAGCCTCCAAATTCAAAAGCAGAAATCGTGTACATCCCAGAGTGGGCCTATACACAGAGGACTTGTAATTACAATAAGGTGGTGAGTAGAATTTATTTTCATCATGGAGCCATGTTACTATTCAATTTGAATTGTAATCATTATTAGCTGACTTTTCTTGTTGCATTTTAGGCTGCTGCAGGTTCTGTCCTTTAAATTAGCTTCCAGAATCTTGACAGATAAAACAAGATGTCTGCCCTCTTAAAGCTCCCTTCCTGTGAGTCCATAACATAATATACAGAACTACTTGTTTAGGCTACTGACAATTTAAGACGGTTATGAGCTGAAATAACAAAACAAAACAGGGCATGAACAAAATTACGGCAAGTATTTAAATTGTCCTTAAGGTATCCCCAATTAAATTTCATCAAGAGTATCATGTAGTGTAAAAAGCCTCTTATTTTACCCCCAGTCCAAAGATTGGATTTCTTCCAAGACAGAGATGGTGCTTGCCCCAAACCACTTCCGAGGTGGAATGGAATAGCTGACATCTTTAACTTGAAGATGTCTCTATGCCTATCTTGCCATCAGGCAGGAAACAACCGAGGTCCATCAGGACTTGGGGCTGTCAGACTGCCAAGGTCTTGCAATTGGATCCAGCACAAGTGATGAGCTGGCGGGTTCTTAGGGTAATGTTTATTGTGGCTCCCAGACACCTATTTGACATCAAGATCCATCATCTCCAGGAACTACTAAGTATCTTGGAGAACTCTAGCTCAAAATCAAGCAAATTAAATTCAGTATAAACCAAGAATTTAATAACATCCTATTTTAAGTTTTTTTTCAGCTTCCTCACATTCCAAACTGGGACATCCTTAGACCATTGTTAGCGATGAAGGCAATATTTCATGTTCTGCTTCATACATAAATACGAATCTCGCGTATCGAAGAATCTGGAAGGGAACGGAACAAACCAGCCTGAAAAGAATTAGCAGGGAAATAATTGTTATTCACCATTATAGAAAATACATAGCTGGGAAACGACCTCATTTGAGTTGATCTCCGCATCTGTGTCGCTTTTCATTTATAATAGTTCTTCCTGTGGGCTCTGAGGTGTTATTTCCTTTTTTTTTTCTTTTTTTTTGTTTTTTCCTCCCTAGTTACATACGTTCTTAAATGGATGATGATTGTTTGATGGGGGAAGAGTAATTTTACCTCATTTAGAGGACTGAATAAAGTGTTTTTACAAGTTATAAGCTGTTTGGGACCTTTTAGCTAACTGTGAATGACTCTCTCCAAAGAGTCAAAGTGCTCTAGAACCCGGCTTCTGCGCTCCAGCGGTTGAGGTGTGTGTCCGCCACCCCACTCCCTTCTCTCCTGTTTTAATAGGATGAGCAGAACCAGGTTAGGGAACAGCCACGTGCACAACGTAAGCCATGGAAGAGGCTCAGGGGTCAGACAGGGACAGGCAGTTCTGAGCAGTCCGAGCAATAACATCTTTTGCTGGATTGGAGTAGCGCAAAGAAACACATCTATGTCTCCATAGTCCTACTCCGCACAAAACGTTAAGCGTCATGGAGGCCTCTAGAGCAGGGGAGACGATGGTTTTGCATTTGTGTACGACGTTCCTGTTTGCTGAGGACTGTTCAGAAATAGGCTTTTGGGAAAAGTAAACTCTACACATCTTCCACTGTCTACATCCCCACTTTCAAACCTGCAACCTCTTATCTCTGGAATCACGTTCTCGTTCTTTTTTGGATAGTAAATCTCATGATACATGTTTTCTCTTTCATGCTGTTAAACTGAGCTTTGTGGCTAAGTGCAGATTGTAGCATCTGTTACCAAATGCACAGTCATAGTTCATCACATCCACAGCTGGAGAGATTTGGGGTTATAGTGAAACTTCAGTGGGCTGTGCTAGAATTCAGATTTTGTCTTTTCCCAGGCAAGAAAACTCATACTTGTTGAAAGCCCCAACAAGACCCACACTTTATCAGCCAGGACAGGAAAGGCTCTTTCACCTGGTGAGCTTGCTGTGAGCTGGTGCAATTAGACACCGAGTGTGTAATTCAGCACTTCTAGAGGATCCGTGAACGGAGACACATTACTTCCAGCCCTGTGGATAAAAGTAGCTTACTGGCTTAGGCGCACAGCAACAAATCCAAGATGTGTTCCCTGCCTGTCTTTGGTCGACTGCTGCACTACGCAGCAAGCTTCCTTGTGTCCGCCCCGGTACTGTTGAATGACAAGTTTAACAAGATTTATCCTCCCTGTGTATCTTGTCTAAAGCTATTGCCTTTAATCCAGCTACGGAGAAGATTATGGTTTACGTACTGGAAAACCACAGGGTCTACGCTTTCATGGGGCTTGCCCAGGACTTGACCATACTTCTACCTTACAAAACTGAAACAAATTATTCCCCGGGGGGGGGGGGGGGGGGAAGGGTGTAAAACTATTTCCTGCTGCCTTCTGATTTGTTCCATATCCCATGCAGCTTGAATGAGAACTCACGGTCCAGCTTTCCAAGTCCACAAAATTACTTTACCTTAAGCTTGTGAATTATCCAGCTTTGTTTCTTTTCCTCAGTCTCTTTTTTCCACAAGTTTCTAAGATGATTTATTCTACGTATGTTATCTGTAAAGAACTTCTCTTAAATGCATTTTCAGTGTTTCATGACGAAAAAACCCCAACTTGAAGTGTTGATCCTCAAACTGAAAATGGAGTGTCTTCATTGTGCTACAGCATCACTCAGGAGTATGAAAGATGTCAATAACAGACAGGGTTCGGACTCCACACAAATCTTTCTCTACCAAGAAGAGGCTTTAATTAAAAAAGACGAGATTTGAAGTAAGTGTGGTTTTTTTTTTTTCTTTTAAGATGCTGGAGCTATTTAGCATTTTACAGGTGGAGCTCTTTAGCATTTTACAGGTTAATATACAGCCTGATGCTTCCAATATTAAGGTGAAAGCTGCCCATTAATGACTTGTAATGAGTATTTCATTTTCTCTCCATATATGGAAACAAAATAAAAAATTAAATGTAATTAAAATTAACTGTAGGAATGACATTAATCAGTCACGAAGAATAGCATTTATTAATATGACCTGGAAAATGTATCACATGCCACCTGCCACCATTTAGACCACTTCAGATATTTTGCACAGCTTTAGTAAAATCAGTAACGGGATGTTTACAGTTACTCTCAAGCAACATAGAAACATTTATACATTTTGTTGGAGCAGTAAAAAATCCTTGTCTTTGAACTTGCTCTCAATAATGTGAGATACATGAAATCGTATGTCCACAGACATACCTCTTCCCACCCCTTCCCGCTCTAAAATCAGAGTTTACAAACCAGCTATGTTTCCTGACGGTGAAGGTCTCAGTCTGATGGCTGGGTGTACGCTGGCGGAAACATCTGCTTTTGCAGATCCCGCTCTTCCACAAGAGTCCAATGATTTAGCATGTTGCAAGGAAAACCTGCCTCAAATGCGGTCAATGCAGTCTTCCCATAGTTTTTACGGCTGTCAGGATCAAGGGTGCCTTGGTTTTAACATGCCAATCAACAGTAATACCGTAAGAACTCTTTTGAACAGGCATATCTTGTCATTTTGGAGAACGTAATGAGAAATGAAGGCAAGCTGTATGATTACTTCTGTACCTCTTGGTTGGAAAGGCATTACTTCCAAAAGCAAAATCCCCCATTAACAGTTCTCAAGAGTATCCTTTTCCCTTTTTTAATATACTGACTACAAATTGATTAGAATCTGCAGAGTAAAAATGGAAGTGAAGTCTTTACGTTCTTCAGCACACTTAGCACAGACAGGCTAAAAACTAACAAAGCGCAGAGCAGTATCATCAAAAACTGAAAACCACTGGAGATGAGTTTGCTTTGATGCATCAAGCTGCATATGTAAACGGGTCCCTGTCAGTACGGACTGCATTTGGGGACTCTGGGTGTCGGTTCAGGAACTTCTGCTTGAACACAGTTTTTAACTCTGCTGGTCAAAGTTTCATTAATTTCTATATGTTCTAGTCTCTGCTGTTCCCAAAACAGTATGTTCAGTGAATGAGAGCTCAGGTTGAAAAAGAAGAATTCATGGTTGAGTTTCTGCTCTTATCCTAATAAAAACTGGGTATATTGAAGAAAGTGACCGTGGGTATCCTGTATCAGCTGTATAAATTGTACTATTTAAGTGTTGCATGTAAGCGCTACAATCCCAACTGGATTTGTGACTTAGTAAAACACATTTAGAGCCTTATTTTGAATTGGGCCTTGACTCAGATTTTCTTCATCCTAAAATACAGCTAGTTAATGTCAAACTACTTGAGTTGCTTGCAAGAAGACAAACATCTGTTGTTGTTTTTCAAACTCACAGCACACAGCGAAAGATGAGTTGATATGTTGGTGCAAAATTGCTCTTGTATCTTGTATGAAAGTTGCTTATATGTAAGAAAGATGAGTTGATATGTTGGTGCAAAATTGCTCTTGTATAATTGAAGAAAGTTGCTTATATGTAACCAGAAAGTACTGAAGTGATACGAGAATATATAAACATCTAAATACAAAATACCTTGTTCATGTAGTAAAAAAATCCAGAGAAAATGTGATATCAGTGAAACTTGTCTTAAATGACCAATAAAAATATGCTGCTTAAATTAAGTATCTTATCAGAATTATTTCTAAGAGAAAGTAAGCATGACTGTACTAAGTATGCTTAGGGATAAATACTCAGCTTAAGAGAGAGAGAGAGCGCGCGCGCTTCCTCAACCTTTGTTGTGTTGTTTAAGCTTAATTGTATTGGGGTTTTTTGATGGTAACTATGTTGTGTGCTGATGAGTGTCTTCTAATCAGTCTTTTTAGTTTTCCTGTAGTGCAGGATTGTGGCTGTGACCCAAATGTTGAGAATGAGCATGGTTATGAAACGGATGAGAACTAAAAGGGAAAAAAAAAATCTTGTAAGCATAAATCAAAAAAAATCAACTGCTGTCATTTTCAGAAGACATGTTATTTTGTAAACCTTCACTGGTGTACAAACAGGCTGGTTCCCATTCTGCAACTCTTTTCAGTCAATTAGTTCGAATTACTGTGTTCAGGAACCCAGAAATTCTCAAAGTAAATATAGCAGAGAAGAGCATTTAGCACTTGCGAGTGGTATCTGAAAATAATACACCACAGTACCTCTAATTCCTTTGCGACAAAACCAGGAGACTCGTACAAGTTTGAGTAGCCTCATATAAATTTACATTTACACCTAAAATTAAACGCAGAGCCATAGCTCACATGTCCGTTATAGTTGCCCATGTTGTTTATAATAAAGGGATTATTCTACACTTAACAGATGGCAGTAGAGACTTCAGGGAGACAGGAAATACTTGTATCTGTCAGATTTTAATGAGAGGAAATCTGACAACTGAGAAAAAAGCAGTTTTTCAGTATCTTGACTAACTTTCAGAATTTTTTTAAACCAAAATAAGCATAGTATCTCTACCTGTGAGACCACAATTTGAAGTAGAGGTATATCTAATATCCATTTGGTAAACGGATTATTCACAGAAATGTACACAAAACTTTGTTTCAGAAATATGTGATATTTGACAGTTTCATACATGTGTATGAAACCAAGATGAACATGCCAAAGTGTTCAGTGTTAGAAGTTAACTGGAAACATCTTCCATTGATACTGTGCTGCTCTAATGTTTGCCACCATCTCTTCCATGTTCCAAAGTGTATTGTGCTGTATTTTAAAAAGCAGCTTTAATCAGAGCCAGCTTTACTTTGAAGAGCCAGCTTTTTACTTTCACGGCGTTTTCCTCTTTTCCTTCCTCTCCTCAATATACCTTTCACGCTTCTAATCAGCGTAAGTGTGTAGCTGTGGGTGAACTGGACTTGGTAACTGACCTGGACTAAATTTCTGCGTGTGCATTATGCCAATTTTCTGGTGATCCAGTTAACTGTGTGGTCCCAAAATTCTTGCTTTGGCAAAGAGAAAGCAGCAAGGATGGGGGTGAAAATGAGTGATTCAGAAGGGGACTTCCTTTTCCAGTGAAAGAGCCACTTGAACTGCTTGTAAAACTAGAGCCTTACTGTGCTGCAGAGGACTGCTTAAAAAAAAAAAAAATCCATTGAAATGACATTTCTGATGAAATACCGGTTTTGAACTAGAACAAGGATCCGCCAAATAAAGTACAATGTGATTTTGTTACTGTTCTTGCATCCACCAAGTCTTCATTTTGAACCGTTTATTGAAAAATCTGCTGCACTCCTTAGCTCTTTCAGTTTTGTCAGGATGATAAGGTGTTAAATAAATTTGCTTTATAATGAAATCAGCTGCAAATTATATATTTTAAGTCAGTTTTTTGTGAGTTTCTTACCAAACTACCATTTCATTTTCAGCCTGCCATAAACTTTCTGAATATTGTGCCCAGAACTATTCATATGCTATGCTGAACTTGAGTTTTCTAGACTTTTTTAATGCACAAACCCCGCAATAAGAAAAGGAAACACTTACTATTTGAAAAGCTATCACTCAATTATTAGATTTACTCTCAATTATTACAGATTTATTAAGTTGTATTTTACTAAATTTATTTATGTATTTAAATATTAAAGACTTTTAATGCTTTACTCTGCTATTTTCATAATTAAGTTACTTTTGTAGTGCTTTTGCCTTTTGAAAAAAATGGTGGCTTTTGGACCACTTGTCACCATGTGATAAGCATAAGCAGTTAGTTTTGTTTTGTTTTGTTTTCTCCAGGTATTCGACTGATTTATAATCCTGTGCTACTTTTTCAGCAGTAGCTCCTTCCCTCACCATGCTAAACCACCAGGTTCATGGTTTGTTCTTCTGAGACCAGAAAACTGCTTTTACAAAACAGCTAAAAAGAACCATGGCAGCTGTTATCTTGGAAAGGCGGGCAATTCCATTCTTTACTCACCTGCGAGATCATTCGTAGTCATTACAGTTGTAACTATTCTTGCTGTAAATTGAACGAATTCTGATTAGTGGACTAGATACGGCACGTTCATACCTTCAAAAAACGATGAAATATCTATTTTTCAATAGAGGATAATCTTGCATGAAAATATCTGTTCCCACTTTTAGTGCATCCACTCTTCACTATTTTAGCTTCAGAGATCAAGCTCTCAAAGCTAAGTGACACTGTATTAAGGGTCTTTTTTAATGAGAAAATCACTGATATAATTAGAATTTTTATATCTATCTATCTCACTAGATTGGATGCGGTCAGAGTTTACGGCTTCTCTTTCTGTTCAGCCCCCTGCTTCAGTAGTTGATACTGAGCTACACCCACAATCGAGTTAGCATGACTTAACCATTGTAAATGTTCACATGCATGCTTTTAGGCTTCCGCAAGTATGAGGAATTCAGCTTTCCTTCCCACAACAAATCTAAACATTAATTATTTCACATTTGCAGCAGACTAAAACCATTTACAAAGTTTATTGCCATTGTTCAGCAAACATATCACAACTTCTAATTATTGACTTAAAAACGTTTGTTTCACAGGGAAATGGATCCAGCATCACTATGTTTTATAGTAAGAATATTTTAAACAAGTTTTGTGAATATGACAAAGGCACTTCTGACAAATAGCTGTAGAAGAACTGTTCATGCAGACCACTAGGTAATTAACACATGAACTGCACAGATCACTGTTCTTGGGACATTCTTAAATTCTCCTCTGTTGAGAAATGTATTTACATGTAGTCATAGAGTTAAAGGTATTTAGCATTAAGTGTGTATTTATTTGTAGATGACCTTTCAGAATTAGCATTGTCTGACTGTCTAACTACAAAATTTAGCACCTTTTCATGCTGGATCACTGGTAATTTTATTAAATCCTAAAACATTGAAATCTTTTCTTCGTAAGGACACTCTTTCAGTTATTTCAACTGTATCAGGTTCCTTTGACCAAATTTGCATGTTTTCTAAGTCAGTGTCATTGTGACTGAGCTGGTGTCAGTGATAAAACTTGACTTCAAGTCACTGTGTGGTATCTGTATCTCAGCAGTTGGCACTAAGGGAAACTACATTAGGCAAGATTTTTACCTACTATGATTGGGTAAAGATCTATTGAAAGAGGCATTAGGAGGAGATATGGCTTTAAAAAATGGAAACTCAGTGCTTTGCACTAAGTCGCCCGTAGCTTACTTGCGCAGGTGTATGCAGACATACTCCAGGTCAAGGCGCTCACTTGTCCAGAATCTTTTGTTTGCCAGAGACACCGCAGCTGAGCCAGCTTACTGGCCGCACTGATGAGCGTGCATAAATTCTGAAAAGCAGGTGGAAAAAGAGAAAGAACCTCTGCCTCTGCCATTGTATTATCCGAGTGTTTAGGAAGTTACATACTAACAGCCATAAGCTAAAAACCAGGACTAGCTTTTTCATTTAGAATTAAAAAAAATACACTTTTTCAGTATTTTGCAACCCAAGCGTTTCAGCTTCTTACTAAGGAACCATGAAGCAAAAAGTTAAAGTTGCCAGAAGCAAGGAACTGATTTCTGAGGTACTGCCCAGGAAGAAGCTCAAAGAGCACAATTGCTACTGCTGTTGGCAAATGCTTGATAGAGGCAAATACGGTAAGAAGCAAAGAAATAAAAAAGCCTCTCAATCTGCTACATAAAACTGTTTATGAAAGTTAGCTAAAATGAGACTGATCTAAACAGCAAGGTTGACTCAGACCATCTGTTACCGTTACGTCTGGCATAAAAGAATGAGAAAACTGACAAGAATGTGTGGAAAATTAGTCCAATTGGTGGGAAAAAGCAATGAAGGGAACAGACTATTCACCCTGTCATCCTTTTAAGGGGGATTTTGCAAAGGCAGCGGGTAGAGGGGACCTCCACATGGGTCTCTGTGGCATGCCTGGATTTCCCTTGCAAGTAAGGACTGGCCCCATTTGTGTATAATCTTTTGCATTAGCAACTCCAGTTCATCTCAATTAAATTTTAACTTTCCCTCTTCTGATAAAAAGGACAAAGACCATCTTTAACCTGTGTAGGGCATTATCAGATGATATTTTTCTTGCAAAATTCTAGGACTTAAGGGAAAAAAGATCTTGTGAAATCTTTAATATTCCCTATTTCAAATGTTTTGACTGATGCTCTATTCTTTTCCTCTCATGTTAAAGGTTTATTAATGGCAATTATAACATTAGGACTAAAGAGGCAATCTTTTTTCAACATCTTAAACGTTTGCTAGTTTTAGTTAAGGCACCACAATTAACAACTTTACCTCAGAACATAGGTTCCCCCCCCCCCCTCCATAGAGTCTCTATTGCCAGCGTTACGTTTTCCAGATACTCACAGAAGTGAAACAGCTCTATTTGAAAACTGGGGTTGTTCTGAGAGCTAACCCAAATGATTAATTCTTCCAAGGACAAATATAAGGAGAGATTTCACTGATCAAGACATCCAGAAAAAAAGTCATTTCATATGTGGACCTAATTTCAAATAATCATGCAGCACTTACCATGGCCAGGTCTATTATCCACTTCCGCAGTGTTAGCATGTACCAGCCCCCCCAAAATCTTACCTTATGTTAAGTTGCATAGCACTGAAAATTCTAGGATACCAAAGCTCTCAAAACTGCCTGGGGAGTAAGATTTTTTTAAACATTTGAAAATAATCTTACTGAAACCTTATAACAGACTATATGCTCTTAGATAAAACATATTAAGCACTGTTTGAAACACTAAGTGTTCCTATTTTTCATGCTTTGGTTGAACAGTGCCTGGAGCTTCTCAAGACCTTCTCCAAAGCACAAGACTTGAGATTTAAGCCCAAGTCCTATTTTAAAAAAAAATACACAATACACTGCTCTGTTGATCATAGCAAGTACAATCTGCATGGGTAAGAATCAAAGAAAAAAGATTCATCATTTCCATCCAGCATCTCTAGCAAAGATGTAAATTAAGAGTTGGTCTTACTCCTTATCAGTTGTGGGCCGTCTAAAGCATAGCTACATATAAAGCTTTCTTCTTGTAGAGATTTTACTGTGATCCAAGAAATCAGCATGTGAAGGTGGAATGCATGTTGAGGGGTGGCTGAAAATGATTTACAATGGTAGCACAAAACAAATGACGACATAGCTGCTGTGCAAAGAACTACCAAAAAAGCTAAATAAACCAAAATTCCCAGATTTCAAAGGATACGTGACTGCATAGAACAAAGCTCGTTTCATGTTTCCACTGAAATGCAGAATAAACAAAAGGAGAATGACATCTGAAATAAATAAAAGACTGCTTGTCAGAGAAGGGAGAGAAAGGGCCTAAATGCAATTCTAGACGGAAGGAAGTAGTTCCACTGGGCACCATGTCTATGGAAACTGGTTTCTTACAGGTTTGTCTCTCAAATTTGGTCGATGTCCAAAACACTGCAAGCTCCAAAATGAAACTTTTCTTAGAATCTGGAGCATTTATAAGGTTTCTCTCCCACGTGGAGTCACTGCAGAAAGGATGAGCTTACACTGCAACTCCACCATGTGTGTATTAATTAGATCTTTCTCCTCTACCTGATGATTTATTTTCATAAAATGTATAGGAATTCAATTATATTTGAGGTGTTCATTCTCTCTTCCCCCCGACCCCAGCTAGAATTGGTCAATGGATACACGTCATTGCAGTGGAGTACTGTATCTACAGGTCTTGGAGTGCTGAATAAGCCCTGTTTTATTTCCAAAACATGGCTTAAAAAAATTACCTTGTGCAATGATGATGGGATATTCCAGGTATGTCTGCAGAGGGTAACCATAGTAAATCTGGTACCTCAGAAACACAAGGAAGCTGAACAGAAAGACACAAAACAGCGTGACTGCACGAAGGAACAGGACAGCTCCTTCACAACTTCTTTTTTACTGTTTTGGTTGTGCCAAAAAGCTCCAGACAGGTGTAGCCCCTGCTGTCAAACTGATCAAACAAATATGAAGACAAAGTGCAAGCCTGATGATTCTGTAGTCTATTTTTGTTACCCTCAAATAGCGTAAGATGTAGAGAGCTGCCCACACTTCTTGTCAAGGTCTTTGTGTCACAGTGTGAAAGGCATGATTTTATTAATTACAACTGATGAGAAAGAAATAAAGGCTTTCAAACCTAGAAGCTACCTTCTCTTCGCAATTGCCTTGGCACCTCTGGGATAACTCTGATTCCTTTATTTATCTCAGAAGTTCAATCTGTACACTAAGCAAGTTTTACAGGAGTAGAAAACGTCTTCCAAGCTGCCTGGACTACAGTGTTAGAAGATTGCCCAGTGTAGCTGTACTGGTTAGACTCAGACCCTGTTCTTAAGTGCACCAAACAATGGCAATTCTCTTTCCTGCCATTCCACAATACAGTATCTAAAAGGAATTGAACTTTTATCACGTTTTCTTTACTTTCTTCAACTTTCATGCAAGTCTATGGGATTAGACAGAAACTTCAAGGCTGCAGAGAAAATAGAAAGGACTCTTGGGGCATAGTTTTATGTAAGGAAAAATTGATGGTTTCCGGTGTAGAAAGATGGAATAAGGAACTGCTTGCCTTGTAAGAAACTGGCTTTTACAGTATTGAGAATTTAAATATCTGAACTTCCTAGAAGTCTTATTTCTTGTAGGGTCAAATTATACTCCTTGCCATCAGCACCATGCGCTGTGTCACACCTCTGCCAGGTCACCGCATTCTGACTCTGCAGAACCATCCCAGTTTGTACCAGTAGCCCCAAAGCTCTCTGCAACTGGACCCAGAGTCTTTAAAGGCTGCAGGATAGTCTACTAAATAAACAAACAGTCCCAATAAATGTTTCAAAAAAGCCTTGTTGCAATTCTTCCAAAATAGTTTTGCCCAGAGCAGGCGCAGAACCCGCAGCCCTGTGGGTACCATGGTTATCACACAGGTGCTGAAGAGACATTTACAGCTTCTCCATGCTCATCTGAAACATTACTTATAAAGCCTTTTCAATGCACACCAACACACATGAATGATTTTAAAATGCTACCACCACTTTTTGGCTGGGGCTGTCGGGTAAGTTATCCCTGGTAGAACTAGAATTTAGTTCACGTACTCTGAGGTGTATTAAGGGTAAACAGCAACAACAGGGGTTCAGTGCCATGGAGAAATGTGGGCAGCGAACAGCCACAGTGGAGACCAAGGGAATTGGGGGCAGCTACGTGCAGAAAGGTGTCTGTACGCCTAAGCCTGTGCAGCGCCAGACCAGGGTCAACAGCTGTGCCCCTAACAGAAGATGAGGCACAGGTGCATTCAGAAACGACATGCCTGTTTTGTGAGGCGATTTTTCTGAATAAAAAGCCCTTTTTTAGCTTGGTGCGAAGAGCTAGCAGCCATCCGCCTCTTCAAGGTATTTTCTCTCACATGCCTGTACCCACATTTACCTGTACGTGTACAGAGTTTCAGTATTTATTTTCCATTCCATACAATCCTCTTTAAGCAAGATTTAATAAGCCTAGCCCATGTAAGCTTATTACAGACCGACAAATCTTTGGAGTTTGACAAGGTTTGTAATTTTCTTAAAGAATGATTATGTTTTACTTATTTGAGAGAAGCCTGTCTAACTGGTACAATTACCTGCACAACAGGGCACACAAACCATTTAATAACCTAAATGCATAGCTTAAACCCAACAGTAGGTGTTGTCTCTAGCTACATGGGTGGCCCGGGTTGGTTTTAGGCAAGTAAAAAAAGCCAGGTTTCCCTTTAACCAACAGTGTGGAAATGCTTTAAAATAGGAAGTTTCTGCTTCAAAGCGTTTGTACGCCCAGTGAAGGCAGGACACAGCACCTGCACATGACAGGCATACGAAGAGTCAGCAGGCTCAGCGGAAGCTAACCACGTTGTAGAAAGGAGTGGTTTTAAAACCGGAGAGAGCAAGGACTGCTCGCCACCCCCTTCAGACAGCCACTCAACACATCCTCATGCGTGACCAGAGCTGTGAAGGAAGGAACTTACTGCCGCAGCAA